ATAGGAGTAACGTAAAATTTATAGAATTAAAGGTTCAAAAGAGGAGTAAATGAATATAAGTGTCAAAGTAGGTTTAAATAAGTATATTGGTCAGTTAAATAGGTTCAAAGTATCTTCAAAAGTTTGAAAGTAGCATCAAAATTTCGACTCGGGTTCTTTTAATTGAGATATAAAAGAAGATTTAGAAGCGCCGAGTTTAAATCTCGTTTAGACGGAGACTCCGTTGTCGCAAGAGAAACTGGTTTTGGAATTTAGATATGTGGATTTTACATATGTGTACATTCTTTATGCAAATACAAGGTATAATTATCCAATAACGCAAAAGTGTAAGGAAAAAAAAATCGAGAAATATTCTCGAGTTGGTCGTAAACGTGTCCTTAATGAGCACACAAAGAACGGAGCATATTACGCGGAGGGGAAAAAAACCGCTTTTTCATAACGCGTGTAATAAATGCGTTCGTGTATGTCTTGCTTGCGGACTTGAACACAAACTCCCAGAACGGCGTAATTATGAGACGCTCTCAAATATGTATTTAACTGTACTCCCTACGGAGTAGTTCAACACGCGTCGCAAAAGCCGAGAACGGCCCGTTTCTCTCTCTCTCTCTCTCTCTCACTCTCCTCTCTCGTGGTTGTCATTCGGTGCGTCGAATTTGGGAAATTCGACGCCTGTGCTGTCTCGTTCGCTAAATAGGCGTCGTTTCTCGGTTGCAATACACACACACCTTGAGATACGTGCATCGAAATGTGCGAGCGCTTTAGATCTTCTCTAGATTCTGTAGCTCTCTCCTCTAGCTCTCTCTTCTCTTTCTATCTTCTCTTCCTTTTGCCTCTTCCGTCGAGGCAATTTTCCGTGAGCAAACGTCGCGTCTTTGGAAAGCTCTGACGCGCGTTATCTTACGAGCGCTCAGGATGGGCGGTAACCCATCGTGGTTAAACCCTTTCGTGGATCTGGCAGTGGCAGGATATCTCTTTCTTTCCCTTTTTGTGTGTGTGTGTGTGTGTTTGGGTGGGTGTCGGTACGCGGATATGGATTCGAACACTTTGTGTCACAGAGATTCGTCGAAGGCGGCAGCGTGGTAAGAAATATAACCGCAACATTTTTTTTCTAGACCCGATCACACCGTCAACGTTGTTTAACTTCGACCAAATTAATTCTCTTCGCTTCGGGCGATACTCGAAACAGACAGTTTTATCGCAGTATTGTCATCGAAAGATTTATTCAAGAACATATATATATATATTTTTTTTTTTCAGTCGACAGTGTGCGCATATATTGTGAATGAGAAGATACAGAGATACAGAGGATAGTTTTTGCGGGCAAAAGCAATTCGTCTGTAAAGAGTTTTAAAATACGATTTAAAATAAACAGTATTAAAATAAGATTTTTCAAATGCAATTCCCTTTGTACAGAGAAACACTCTTTTCCAAACACCTCAGAATGCTTGCGGATAAAATGGCAAGAAAACGCGGAAGATAGCCGGGGAAGGTCAAGTAGGGAATATAGCTTCTCACCGGAAATTGTTCCGGTCTTCTCGATCCGACCGACCGTAGAAACCTTGCAACAATATCAATAAGGCGACGGATTGTTGTGTCAGGTGGCGTTCCTTTCGAAGTGGCAATCGTTCCCTGACACTGTTGGAAAGTACGTAAACAAATCGGCGGAAGAAGGAAATCTATCGTGAATTTATTGATTCTTTGCTCGATATGTTTTATCATCTCGTATTTTTGTTGATTCACCATCTTTTACTTATATCCGTCGCGTAAAGAGCAAGCGGGAGAGACATTTTAATCTATAGATATCGTACACACACATACACAAATAAATAAACGTTATTTATATAATTACGTTCAAACACATTCGACGATAATAGAAGTGAGAGGAAAGAAAAACAAAATCCTACAAAGGAAAATCACTGAGAGACGTTGTGGCAGCGAGATTTTAACTAGACAAATGTATTCTGTAAATTTATCATGGCAACGGCCACGGTCATTGTCGAGCTTGCCAAATTCCACGCTCTCGCGACAACGATGCGCTCGCGTCGTAAAGCGAATGCGACGACGGAAGTAAGGCTGAAAACGTCCCAGGGTCGGGGCTCGCACAACGCCGCAAATGAGTCACGCGGATGACACGCGCGAATAATTTTGTCTCTCGTGTTAACTGTTAACTCGCGCGTAATTTACACTTTAGTGTGATATACGCGCAACGGGACACACTTCAGACTCTAATGAAATATCGATACTTACCTGTCGCCGAGGAAAGTTTATGCGTCGAATTAATGAGCATCACGGGAAATGATTAATAGATATTCTACAAAAAAAAAAGATACTAGCTGAAAAGTTTACGCTAATCGATATTCCACCGTGATATCGATATCGTATAACGAGTAACTCGTAATGTGGTGACTATCCTTATTCATGAGGATGCGCGATATAATCTCGAACCCGTGCTACGAGGATGATCGCACACAAGAGCGTAGATAAAATAATAATATTTTACCTACCTACCCAGACAAAAATGAGACCAAACAAAAATGAGATAGCAGGAGTCTGTTTCACGTCACTTAAATGCGTGGATTTTTGATTGTTTGTTTTTATTTTGTCAGAAACGTCAAAAGAATCGCTTGCACCTGTGAGGAAAAAGTATAAGTAATATGATATTAAAAGAAAGATTTTAATAAATTTAATTAAAAGCTCAAAGAAAGTATTTTATGATTTACATATTTTTATAAATATAAACGTAAAAAGAAATGACAGAGTTGTGTCATTAAAATCTTTTGTATCATAATGAAGACGTAAAAGGAATATCACGTTAAAGAGACGGAAAAATAACGCTTTTACAAATTATACATATTAAACATTATTTTACAATATTTTATTTAAAAAATATTAAAAAGAAATTTATATTCGTAATAGAAATATTACGTACTAGAAATATTACATTTTTACAAATTTAATATTTTATTTACATATATATATCTGTATTACATATATATATATATATATATATCATTTATATATATATCTGTATATTTTATAGAAATTATATGTAAATTAATTGTCTGTTTGAATAATAATTAGTAAATGTATATAACAAACGCGACATACCCATGCGACATTTAAAGTACATTCACAGAATCGACGAATGCGTGACGCACATTATCTCATACGTGAAAGTATTCAGAAATGTTGGCAAAATTCGCGAATAACTTATTCTAGACTCCTCAAAGATTTAGATCGCATCATTCAGGACATAAACAAAATCTCACTCTCTCAACATCTTGCTTTACCGACGCTTTCACACGTGATTCGCCGTATGTCTTTTGCAAAAGTGTCGGTGAATCCGGGAAAAGCGTGGGAAGAAGAAAAAGAAGCGTTTGATTAGCGTTACACGAAGACGAAAAGCGTTTATTACTTTAGAACGGACGAAACGGCGTAGTTTACGAACGGACGAAACGGCGTAGTTTGTTAATGAAAAAAGAAAAAACAAGAGAGATAGAGAAATAGAGAGAACGCAAAAGCAGGAGAAAAATATATATATGTATGTATATATATATATAAAGCAATTAAACGGTGGTAAACGGCGAATTTCGGAGCGAATTTGGGTGCGTTCCGTCAGAGCGGCGCGGCTGGCGCGCGGCGCCCAGGTAGACCGGTGGCTTCTTTGGTGCGTATGTACGCGTCGTCCGCCGCGGGGGAAGCCCAGTCACTCGTATAAGACCAACAGACTAGTCGCGCCTCGAGTCAGTCTTGGCTTGCGCTTCGCGTGAGTATTGCGATTGCTTTGCAAGCGAAGCGCGCGCGCGCGAGCGAGCAAACGAAGCCGCGATAAGGGGGGAAAAGATCGTGTTGTGCGATTAACAGCGCACGTGTGCAAACCGCCGTGTGTAAATCACCGACGTGCGTAACACAGCGTTAGAAACGTTGATTTGTATGAACGTTAATGGACAACCGCAAACGATAAACAAGTGTTCCGCAGTGCGGAATACGTCGCGTGGACACCGAAAGTCCCCGGCGAGAGAGGGCCAATCACGGGTAGGAAGACAAAGGGCCAATTCTGTTCGTGTTGTGTGTTGTCGATCGACAGACTCAGGTGAAGCCGGGTGAGCAGTTCCGACGAAAAAAACAATATCTCCGTCTGTATTTTACGGAACCTTCGTCGGCGAACGAAAACAGTGCGTAAGTATCAACGTAAACACATACACACACACACACACACATACACATTTGCGTCGATACTGCCGGTGCCGAGAGATCGAGTAGTGCCGAAAATTATGCGACGCGTGTATATGAGCGTCGTCGCGCCTCTATCTTGTTGACGTTTACGCGACTTGATGACAGCTGGTAATGTCAAGTCGTGTGGCAACTCGCGATTCGCAGATATTTTGAAAAAAAAAAAAAAAAAAAAAAAAAAGAAATAGCGATAAAACACAGAATGAGCGAAGCGGCTTGTCGCGTGTTGCATAATGTGTGTGCGACTGTTACGACTCGATATTTTATATTCAGGAAATATATATATATATACAGGGTGTTTCAGAACTATGGGATCAAACTTCTAGGGGTTATTCAGTGCAACAGTAGAAAACATTTGAGTATAGGGACCCATGTCCGGAAAAGTGTCACTACCGCACTACGGCCCTAAGACGCGTTTTTAGTCAAGTCCGCCGAAATCACGTGCGACGTTTAAATCGGTGTATTCAGGTTGGAGGAAGACATTTTGAACAATTGTTGTGATGATATCATGTACAAAAGACAAACATTAAATGCATTAAATCCTATTTAGGCAATTCATNGTCTTTCTAAATTTTAACGCGTCTTAGGGCCGTAGTGCGGTAGTGACACTTTTCCGGACATGGGTCCCTATACTCAAATGTTTTCTACTGTTGCACTGAATAACCCCTAGAAGTTTGATCCCATAGTTCTGAAACACCCTGTATATTAATAGTAATATAAATTCGCGTAAAAACTTTTGTGTAAGTATTCTGGTTCCGGAAGCACGCGTCAAATGTCTGTTTCGAGCTGCGATTCTTCTCTTCCGATGACGTTGGTAAGAATACGGAGAGCACTCCGGATATTTATCGGTCTTGTGTATACATATACGCTCGTGCTCCGTTTCCGCACTCCACTCGCCAGTATACTACGCCAATGTGCTTGTTGCTGCTGCTCGCGCTCGATCGCACGATTCGATATTATTGGCCTGCCCGTCTGTCTGTGCGTAGTTCTGGTAGCATTTCGACTGACAGCGCCGGTGCCTATCTGTTAGTCCGCCTGTCAGACGCGGGAGATCGATTGAGTCGTCATCGTTATTCGCGATGGACGAAAATAATTGCGTTTTACGGTACGGTCCGGAGATAACACGAGCGCGTGCAAAAAGATAAAGCTAATCTTTCCGCGATCTTTTTTTCGGCCATGTCGCGTTGCAAAGTCCAAAGCAAACAAATCGCTAGTGGTAGTCGTCCAGAAATCCGATCGGTTTACACACGTCTGTCAATACGCGCGCGATTCTCTCTTTTATCTTGCCGGACGAGGCAATTACCTTATATTAATGTTTTTTTTTTGTTTTGTTTTTTTACAATTCGCTGAAAATTCCTCTTAGAAAGATTAACCGAATTAAATTCAACGTAATCCGGCGCGCTACGTGTGTGCACATTTTAATGTATATATGTTAATTCTATATCTCTCCCAGATCCAGTGCAGTTATCGTGAGAGAGTCATTACGTTATCTTCAACATACTCGTGTGTGTTTTATAAATATTTAGTAATATCTGGTAATTAATAACAAAACGCAAGAGGATTATTTGCGAAATAAATTTAAATGTTAAATTTAAACAATTTTGTGAGTCTCTTTAAGTGGAGAGAGAGAGATAGAGAGAGATACATCGTGCGCGATTTGTTTTCGCGAGCCGTGTGTGTAATAAAATTTATCTTACAAACAATATAACATAATAAATCAAAAAAATACACATAAAAAACAATAACTTATGCGTTTCGAAACTGATGAAACAACGTAGAATGTTTGAAAAGAAAATGTGTGACTCGCACACTGTAATGTGTGTGTTTCGTGATTTACGTTCGATTCACTCGAATCAATCCGCTCTCTTCTTTCCTCGATCCTTCTCTTCTCTCTTCGTTCTCGTATCGACGATCCGGAGCGGAACTGGAATTTCAGGATGACCTTGTGGAGATCGCGCGCGCGCGCGCGCGTCCGCTCTGCTTATCGCGTCGCAAGCATGATGTTTATTTTTCGCGAGGTGTTAACTGGGAGACCGCGGCGCCACGTGTGTATAATATATACATATATACGCTATTCATTTGCATGTACACCACACACACATATGTGTGTGTGTGCGCCGTTTTCGAAGACGGTTGACGACATAGGAATTCGAGGTGGCCGTGAAAGACGCGAAGCCACAGGTGGCGGTCAGAATTGACTAACGCGGAAGAGGAGCGGCGTTTCGGCCCGTTCACGGGTGCGCGAATAGGGCAGTAATATCTCCATTTTTATACGTCGCGCGGTGCGATTTTACGATCTGCTAAATTTACGCCAAAACACGCGCGTCCCAGCGGCTCTCAAACACGGCTACGCCACGATTCCCACAAACGATGAGGTTTTTCGCGCGAATGTCTTCTACTTTTTTTTTTTTACGATTATAGACCGAGAATGAAGTAAAGACATGCACGCGGTTCATTCTTCCAATGATTTATGCGCAGTTTACTCTTCTTTCTCTCGGTATGTACTTTTTTTTTTTTTTATTTATACGAGATTTTTTTACGTACGAGTGACAGGGGACGATGGAAAAAAAAAATATTTCGACCTCTGCCCTTAAAGGACGTGAGATTATTAATATACTTTAGTACATGAAATTCCGTACTACGGTTACTTTCGAGTAACATAACGAGATCGTGTTACTGCTGAGGTGGTACGCTTTAGAAAAAAAAAAAAAAAAAAAAAAAAAATATAGAAGAGAAAGAGAGTTAAGCTTGCAAAGGATAAACGTTAGATTAAAATAGAACACACGCGTGTAAGTTATATACATTTTAGTGGTTGAAGAGGTACGAAAGCAGAAATAAATTTTGCGAAGTAACTAATATAACAGATTGTTTACAGTCGTTATAATTAAACTTTGCGGATGCAGAATGAAAATAGCGATAAAGTGATGTGAACGCGTCTGAAATATGTCGTTATCAATTTTGTCGCAGTCAACACATGTGTCATGTATATATTTAATTCTCTGGTCCCAGTGTTATCGTCAGTCTTGACAAACACCGATTATTCGCAAATGAACACAATTAAGTCATAGAATAATTCGCAGTAATTATCATTCGCAAGTTTTATCGTCATTGATTTTCCCGCGGTCACGTGTGCGTGCAGTTTCGCGGATATTTCCTGCTTAATTTATTTTCGAAACTGAGATTTTTTCTCGATTCTCAGAAAAGTGTAGCGCATCAAATTCGATATCTGTTTGTTTTCTATGTGCTTAACTTAAGTAAATTTGACACCGACACAAAGCGGCATTATGCGGCGCGTACATGTAAACCGACTGACAACGAGCGAATTATTTGCCATCGGCGTATTCTCGGAAACCGAGACGAAACAATTAGAATGTCGATGCTGATGTAATTTTAATAACGACTCTCTGAGCGAGAGCTGACGTAGCTATGTTCTCGTAGAGAAAGAGAGAGAGAGAGAGAAAGAGCGAGAACTGAGACGAGGGCCTCGGGAATCCTCTTTTTCGTGCCACTAAAATTTCATCTCGTAATTTTTTTCTACTTGCATTTTTATTGTACTCGTGTGATTACATCATTGTTTTCTACACAACTTGATGTTACATGTGTACCGATTTGCACACTGAACACGTCGCGTCATCAAGAATCATCAAGAAATATACCTACATACATTACAGTCAGACATCACTATTAATGACGCGGTCCACGCTTGACATAATAAGGTAGATAAATATGTAAATTAGAAATAAGATATACATATAGGCGCTTGACTGTACTCTACTTTGAGAGTTTTACGTGTACAATCCGACACGACGTATTACTGATCGTTATCAAATTTATAGCGCGATGGCGTAATATGATCATTTGTTTATCCATGACGAGAGGTTGAAAATAGCGTCTTGCTTTGAAGCTTTATGCGATGATGTATAGTGAGATGCAATGTAGGAGAAAAGGGGATGAAGGGCAAGATGAAAAGAGATAGAGGGAGAGATTGCCTGAGGCTTCCCGTAGTTTCCTTTCTGTGGGCGTCCCCATGGACAAAGCGTTGGTCACACACAAAGAGAAAGAGAGAGAAAGGGAGAAAGAGAGAACGGTCGGAGTGAGCTCGGCGAGTGGCGATAATTGGAGCGTTTATGCTGGGTGCCTTCTCGAAATAGTAAAGGTCGATCATCGCGATGGCGCTACGACCCGGCGCGATGCGATATTGCAATGGACACACTCGTTAACGTTAGCTTAGGTCGGGTTACGTGGGTGGCATTTAGCGTCGCGGTAAAGTTGACGACGTGAATTTATGGGTTTTATCCACGCGCGCGTTCGTTCAAATAGCAAACGAATTGCTTTAGCTGTTAGGGACTCGACTTTCTCAATTTACATAAATTGAAGAAGAGAGAGAGACGACTCGCGGGTCACGAGATCTTCTAAATGGGAGAAAGAACAATATTTCTTTAATTAGTGGTCTCAAGCTGCTTCTTTAAACAAATATTTGTTCTGAGAGCAAAAAAAAAAGATAATGCGTTTCATTTAGCGTCTTATATCTCGTATTATTTTTTTATTATTACTAGCACAACACAGGCGCGCGCTACGCGCAAGCTGTTATTGTTTTTATTTTAACGCGTGTTGTGCCAGTAAACACAACCTGTCGCTGCAATGACAGCTAGTATATATACGTCTTACAAACCATATAACACACATGATGTACACATGAGAGATGTCAGAAATAACGCATGAAAATCAAACTCGAAAAATAAAAGAGAAAGGGTTGAGTGAAAAAAAAACCACGAACGCGACTAAAGTCACGTGACAAGAAAAAGAGTAAAAACGAGAATATTATATATATTATATATAATATTCTATAATTATATATAATATCCACACACACATATACAGGGTGTTTCAGAACTATGGGATCAAACTTCTAGGGGTTATTCAGTGCAACAGTAGAAAACATTTGA